GAAGGAAGGAAGGAAGGAAGGAAGGAAGGAAGGAAGGAAGGAAGGAAGGAAGGAAGGAAGGACTAGCAACAGCAATTAGACTTATATACCACTTCATAGTGCTTTTATAGCCCTCTCTAAGCGGTTTACAGAGTCAGCCTCTTTCCCCCAACAATCCGGGTCCTCATTTTACCCACATCGGGAGGACGGAAGGCTGAGTCAACCTTGAGCCAGTGAGATTTCAACTGCCAAACTGCAGCTAGCAATCAGCTGAAGTAGCCTGCAGTACTGCACTCTAACCACTGCGCCACCTTGGCTCTATCTATCTGTCTGTCTGTCTGTCTGTCTGTCTGTCTGTCTGTCTGTCTGTCTGTCTTGTAAGCCGCCTTGAGTCGCCAAGTGTGAGTAGAAAGCAATATCAGTGTTTTAAATAAATAAATTCACTTAACCATGGCATGATTTACGTAAATAGGCAGCTTAACAAGCAGGCCGAAGGAGGTCATTAAATCAGCCCCTCCCCCTCGTTATAACAACTGCCTCGCTTAGCAACGGAAATCCTGATCCCCATTGAGGCTGTAAAACCAAAGGCTACCCATACACACTTTCCCCCCCGTACCTGGTCACTCATTGCAATGCCATATCGCAACTCCATGACAAAGTGTTCGCAGTTGTGGCTGGTCAAGTTGTAGGGCATCTCTCTGCCCACCAGCTCTTCTGCCCGCTCGAGGGTCTTCGTTAGGGGCAGGGGGGGATATGTGTGGTCGTGTTTGTTGTTCACTCGGTATTGGTCGTTCCGTACCACCGTTTCCAGCCAGTCTTTCTTAACGTACGCTCGGTCAGACAAGACCGCCAGTACGCTGGCGGCCCCATTCGCAAGGCGGTCACCTGCCCAGAAGAAGGAAAGGGGTTGAATTCACACGGCGCATTGAACCCCGGTTTTGCAACAGACGCTTGCAATGTCCCCTCCAATGGACCGCTGCTGCTCCACCTTGGCCACTGCTTGAGAACGCCGGGAGGGGACGTCCGAACATCTTGTAGGAGGATATTTGCAGCTCAGGGTTGAAATGAAGGGGGTCTTTGGTGCTCTCTGGGCTTGGTGGTTTTCTTGCAGATGTTTCATGATCCAACTAGGGGACATCATCAGTGCTAGGAGGGAGGGAGGAAGAAGGAACAGGAGGAGGGGGGGGAAGGACTAGAGAACTTGGTGCTCTCTGGTCTTGAAATTTCATGACATGATGAAAATGGAGGAAGAGGAAGAGGAAGAGGAGGAGGAAGAAGAAGAGGAAGATTATAGTGTTTGATGCTCTCTGAGCTTGGTTGTTTTCTTCCAAACATTTCATGACCCAACTAGGTTATATTATCGGTGCTAAAAGAGAATGGGGATTGTGGAGAAAAGGAGGAGGAGGAGGANGGAACCCTGTCCAGGGTCCTCCACATCCTCCAGGGCCGACTCATAGGGCCCCTTGCTGTCGGAGTCTGGTGGCAGCTCCAACGGCTCCTGCTGGACCACAACAGGCACTGTATTTTTTTGGAGTATAAGACACACTTTTTCCCCCTAAAAAAGAGGGTGAAAATTTGGGTGCATCTTATACACCGAATGTAGCCCTACCCACCCCCCACCAGAGGCCCAAAACACAAGGCATGGAGGCAGCAATGGTCTGTGGGAATCCTTGCAGCCTGGAACAGCTGATTGAAGGGTATTCCAGCAGTCCAATTTACCCGCTAATCAATCAGGCTGCAATAAGTTCTGAAGCTGACCTGGTTGGTCATAGTTTGCATTAGCAATCACATTCAGAATGCACACACAAGTAAGCAGGATTCAAAATAATAATAATATACAATACAAGACCAGAAGCAGGTTTTCCAAGCTAGCAGTAAATACAAGCAAAACACTAGCAGTTTCACTTTCAGTTTTCAGCTAAGCCAGGAGGCTCCTTCCTGTCTCCTTGTTGTTCACACGGCAAATACTGTTTCAGAGTCTGAATAGCCCACATTGGCTGACTTAGTTGCGATGCCTATTCATTGGCTGGCCTTGTTAACATGTGTTCGAAGTCAGGAAGCTAGCCAGCTGAATACCATGGATTAGTAGTGAAATTCAATTTTTTTTACTACCAGTTCTGTGGGCGTGGCTTGGTGGGCGTGGTGTGGCTTGGTGAGTATGGCTTTGGTAGGCGTGGCAGGGGAAGGATACTGCAAAATCTCTATTACCACGCCACTGTGGGTCCAGCTGGTTCTCTGAACTACTCAAATTCTCCGCTACTGGTTCTCCAGAACCTGTCAGAACCTGCTGGATTTCACCCCTGCCATTGATTCTAGTAGGCAGGGGCAGAATTTTTCTTCTTCTTTTCCTCCCCAAAAACTAAGGTTTGTCTTATATTCCAGAGCGTCTTATACTCCGAAAAAATATGGTAATTTGTTTTTTGTTTTTGTGGGGGTTATTAATGGTACATATAGTTTTGACTTCAAGCAAGGAAGTATTATAATGGTCTTCAGTAGTATTACAGGCAGAGAACAGAATTTGCCAATCAAGAGATGATAAGCCGGCAGCTATGATATCATGGTTGGCTTTTTTAAAGTTATATGTTGGGTACCCCCACCTCATGACACTCCTCCTTGTGAGGACGTTTCCTAGAAGACCTCCAAGGTCCCTTGCAACTCTGTTATTCTGACAAAGTCCAAGGAGGCAACTACAATGCATAGGTTGTAGCCCTTTGGTAAGCCTTGCGCTACAACTTTCCTCCACCTTGGTGAGGTGGTCAGGAGGTGAAGTTCAACAGGAACTCAGGTCGAAGCCTCAGGCTGTCCAACTCAAGCCGATGCTTGATGTTCTTTCTCCAACCACCTTACACTTAGCCTACATTTGGCTTAGATTCACCCTTGGGTGAGTTATTCCACCTCCACGTCTAGTCGGAGCTAAGCTCTCTACCAAATTGGGATTCCATTCACACAGTATGCCCCTCCACGGAGTACCCTGGATGTGGAAACGAAGATAACTCCAGAAAAGCGCCGTTGATACTTTGTGAGTTAAGCAGGAAGTGTGCTAATACAATAGCAAGGTTTTTTTTTTTTTGTAACGCTCCCGCCTTGGGTGTTGCATTAAGGAGACGTTAAATATCTATTTTTATACCCAAACACTTCCCCCCATCTTATTAGGCGCTGTATTTTTAAAAAATTGTTGCCTGGTGATTTTATAATCATGTATACGATTCCTGCGGTCGGCTTACTGTGGTTATCTGTCATTTGTTGCCTTTTAGGGCTGGGTAGAAATTGTTATGATTTTAAATGGGATGTGATTTTCATATTGATTTATAATGTTAGTCAACATGAGCTACTTTGGCCAGAATTGAGGCAAATCAAAACACAATAAAGAAAGAACATAATCGCTCCGTAGTTTAATGTTGCAGATCCCACAGGTAGCTAAAACAGCTTTTTAGAAGGCAAAACAGCAAGGGGGAAACTCACCAATTGACCCCAAAATGTGCTTTTTTTTACCTATCCACGGCCACCATTGGATGTGGGAGCTTCTAAGACACTTGCAAAGTTCACATTTGTCCAAAAACTCAAGATGCTTTTTGAATCTGTGTTTGTTCTGACCGAGGCTTCCCAAGAGCATGAAAAAAATTCCTTGTCCCAGCAAAAAATCCTTTTATTAATTTACAGTGAATTCTGCTCATTCACAGCCGGCAAAGTCTTTCGAAGGAGGATTTATGGTCACAGACCTTATCTGGCTTGGAGAGCTGCCAGGCTGATATCTGTAAAACCAGGGGTCTCGGAGAGTCACGAACCAATTAAGCGAATGAATGTTCTCCTGCAAACTCCACTCCCCTTTCGCTCCTCTTTTATTCCCTCTGGGAGGGGCCATTCANAGTCAGAACCAATAGCTCTTATTTTTCCCACTGCAATTCCTCCAAGATTAGCCAAACAACCTCTTTCTAATAATGGCAGTCATTCTTCAACTGCCCTGTTTTGGGGAACAATCTCTCCATTATCTTGACTGTTGACCTACCTGGTCCATGGACAGCAGAAGAAGCTTTAAAAAAAAGTATATGAGTGCTGGCAGGTGAGGCTGATAATTCCACCCAGCCCAGATTTTCTTCAACTAGATGGCCCTCCCGATAGATGAACCTCAAAACTGTTGGAAACTCTGAAAATTGGTCTACAGCATGAGCTATGAAAGAGCTGCTCTAGTGACAGAATGACAGAATTGGAAGGGACCTTGGAGGTCTTCTAGTCCAAGCAGGAGAACCTATGCCCATTTCAGGCAAATGGCTGTCCACTCTCTTCTTGAAAGCCTCCAGTGATTGAGTGTCCTCAACCTCTAAGACCAGCAGTTCCACTGGTTAATTGTCCTCACTGTTAGGAAGTTTCTCCTCTCATCTACATTATCTTCTTCTCAGTAATGGATTCACTGCTACTACTACTTTGAGTTGAGAGTTATATACTGGGACTCCTTGGACATGTGGTCTACAAGTAGACGATTCCGCTAAAACATGCTTTTCCCTCCACTGTTTTTGTATTTTTGTATTTGTATTTATTAGTTTGTCAAACATGTACAAGATAGTAAGTATAAATATAAGCATGGACATGAACGAAAGAAATGAGTAGGACAGAGACAATAGGCACGCTGGTGCACTTATGCACGCCCTCTTTACGGACCTCTTAGGAATGGGGTGAGGTCCACGGTGGACAGTTTGGGGTTGAAGCTGTGGGGGGGTTTGAGGATGTAACAACGGACTCAGGTAGAGCATTCCAGGCATTGACCACTCTGTTGCTGAGGTCGTATTTTCTGCAACTGAGTTTGGAGCAGTTCACCTTGAGTTTGTATCAATTGTTTGCCCGTGTGTTATTGAGGTTGAAGCTGAGGAAGTCATTGACAGGTAGGACGTTGTAGCAGACAATTTTGTGCACTGTAATTTTGTGTACAATACTGTGTACTTTAGATCATACCGCAGGTGGTGCAGTTCCAGATTGTCCAAGCCCAAAATTTCGAGCCTGGTGGGTGTAAGGGATTCTGTTGTGAGCAGAGGAGTGGAGGACTCTTCTCGTGAAATACCTCTGGACTGGCTCGATTGCATTAGTGTCCGATATGCAGTGTGGATTCCAGGCAGATGAGCTGTATTCAGGGATTGGTCTGGCAAAGGATTTGTATGCCCTAGTTAGCAATACAATGTTACCGGAGAAGAAGCTTCGCAAAATTAGGTTAACAACTCTTAATGCCTTTTTGGCAATGCTGTTACAGTGGGCTCTGGGGCTTAGGAGATGAGTATTCCTAGGTCCTTGACAGAGTGGGGGTCCTCTACTAGGTCGTTTCCACCCACTTATATTTGGTGTTCTGATTTTTATTGCCAATGTGTAGAGCAGAGCATTTATTAGTCGAGATTTGGAGTTGCCAATTGCACGACCATTCACATAGTCAAGGTCGCTTTGTAGAGTAGGGGTATTGCCGGTGATACTAGCCAGGAAGCTTTTCACCAGAAAGGATAACTACCCTAGAACGACTATTTAATCTCCAAGTATAGTTATGGGTACTTGTAGCAAATTGCACCCTACTTTCTTCTCCCTTTAAGCTTCAAAGGTTAAGAATTGAACACGGGATTCTGCACTGAAGGCTGAGCCAAGACATTTCCAGAGGGCTCAAGGTTATATACACCTTCGTAGGTCAACAGCCATCTTGTGAATTGATGCTAACTTCAGGCCAGCAAAGACCTTATAATGACAGGGAAGGTTCAAACAATGCGGAGAGCATCTAGATAGCAAGATTGCCACCTTTATTTCCAAAGGCTGCCCCCACGTTTGATTTGACCTGCCCGAAAAGCCACCTTTTCAAAGCGAGAAAGAAGATTTATGCAAGGGAAGCCAGATGTTGTAAGCTGTTCCTTCACCTGCTGGGCTTCAAGGAGGCCTGAAGTTACTATTGAACGATTTAAAAATGAAAGGAAAAATCCTTCCATCAGTCCTGATTAAATTTTCCCAGCCCAGAAATCGTGTCTAAGTCTAGACTCAGAAAAAGCCCCAGGTCCTTCTCACAGGGGTGAGACCTTATATTTGCCAAAGAGATTTTTTTTTTGATTGAAGCTTCCATATTGTTATGGGCANAGAAGAAGAAGAAGAAGAAGAAGAAGAAGAAGAAGAAGAAGAAGAAGAAGAAGAAGAAGAAACATTTGTGAGTTGTTGAATTGTGATGCTCAACAATCTCTACTAATGAAGGAGGAAGAGGAGGAAGAAAAGAAGGAGGAGGAGGAGATGAAACAAATGTTTGTGAGTTGTTGAATTGTGATGCTCAACATTCTCTACTAATGAAGGAGGAGGAAGAGGAGGATAGGGAGGAGGAGGAAAAGGAGGAGGAGGAGAAGGAGGGGAAGAGGAGGAGAAGAAGAAACAAAACATTTGTGAGTTGTTGAATTGTGATGCTCGACATTCTCTACTAAAGGAGGAGGAGGAGGAGGAGGAGGAGGAGGAGGAAAAGAGAGAGAGGAGGATTTTTATTTGGTATTCATATAGAACTGAGGATAGTACAAGAAAAACCACAGTGAAAATGCATCACAATATAAACATATATTAACTAGGTAGGAGCAGGTTTCAAAATTCTATTTCGGCTAGAGACTTCACAGGTTCCAGCAGCCAGAGCTCTTGTAAAATAGAAGGCCACCTCTAATGAAGAGACACTGCCTTTCCATTCCCTTCTGTACTCTACAGTAGTCATTCTCTGTTATTTATGTTTTATGTTTTTAACATTTTATTGGTGCACCATGCAGAATCCCTCTGCGAGAAGATGGATTTATTGATATATGACTCAGGTCTGGTTGCTTTATTCGCTGTCCATGGTGCTGAAATCGGGCCTGCTGTCCAGTTCTTTTCACAGTTTACTTCCTCCTACTTCCTGTCTACATCTATTTTGAAACTGTAATGTGCTAATTTTCCCACCCCCCGAGAGGTAATTTTTGGCTTGGATTGCACTCAAAAGCACGCGTGGGTAGGGATGAGGTGAGCCTTAATTTTGTTTTATTTGTATTTTAATTGAATTGAAAGTCAATACAGATTAGATTATGGCTTTATGGATTAGCCTATAGGCCATATCAAATCACAAGGTTCAAACACATATCACCAACAAAATGCTATACAAACAATTTAAAAGAAGAGTAGGGTAAAATACAATAGTTATAGGATAAGATACAATATAAGTTAACAGAGTGCACCTTCAGCGTTTGGTCATGCCGGCCACATGACCACGGAGACGTCTTCAGACAGCGCTGGTTCTTTGGCTTTAAAACAGAGATGAGCACTGCCCCCTAGAGTCGGGAACGACTGGCACATATATGTGAGGGGAACCTTTACCTATCAAATAATTAAATCCGATTTATAGAGTAAATGTTTATTTGCATAAAGATTCTTCCTAATCTCTAACTAACTAGGAGAATCTCACCAACGGCTAATTGCAATGTTCTCACCTAGCTTTTAATTTAAAAAAAAAATAGGATGGCGTTGAGAAAATGTATTTATAGGCATTTCTTCTTTTTTCTAAGCTAGTCTTCCTTTCTGCATGATGTATAGCATATCCACAAAAAAAGGAAATCCAAGATAGTTGAGTAAGCCAGTGATGAATGGACTTGGAGTAACAACCTCTAAAGTACATGAATCACCTAAGCTTTGTCTCCCGATTTGGATAATCTGATTTGCGAAATCAAATGGATTCTGCAAAACAACAAAACATTGATCGTACAGACAAAAGTTTGCTGGATCTTTGGATCAATTGCAAAGCATCTGATTACATCCGAGGCATTGAAACTTGGTGATTCGGTTTGAAAACTTGATTCTGTTCCACTCAATCCAATGATTTTTCAAATCCTGCGACCAAGACTTACCCCGAGACCTAATAAACGCAGCTGACAATCCTAAAATCTGTCAGGAAGTCAGGCAAGACGGTATTTGAGGGTCTAATACGGTGCGGTTTGCCCATAACCAAACAACCAAATGGATACCACCAATTCCTGCAAGGAGCCGCTTGTTGCCGTGGAAACCGAATAATCAAGACATGATTGAAGGCACGGCCTCAGTGTCCATGCTGCAGGTAAAACGGAACACACAAGCAAGGTTGCCAAGGCAACAGATATGTTAGGAAGTAATTAAAGATAGGGCTGGTATATCTTAGTTCGGAACCAATTATAATTTCAGCAGGAATCTTCATGCTGTAGGTTAATGTTGGCGAATTGATTGAGCCAAGATGACTGCAAACATCAGCAAACATTCATAAATATCACGGAGAGAAGAGATTGTGATGCCAGTGGCAGGAATTATGGAACAGGAAGTGGAAGCAATTGGGTTTTTAAACCGTGGTTCCAGGTGAGTTGAGATTAATTGAGTGTTTATCAAATCCTCTGGATTCACAGAAGTGATACGACTGCAAAAATATATATATAATAAGTGGCCAAAGGTAGCTTTCCAGGGGAAGATGTTGGATAAATGTTAATTTTGATATATGGCTGGTATTTGCCAACAAAAATGCATACCTGGAGTGTTTGGAGAAGCTTCCAATTTGTCACAAAGAGTGACTTACCAAAAGAAAAAAGAAACTGTGTGAAGTTTGTCCTGGGATGGGCAATAGCCAAGCAAGGAAGAAAGGAGACATTATCACCAGGATCAAAATCAGATGAAAAGGAGGAAAACAACATTCTGTTTGTTGCGTTGGTCCACTTGTCTTTTCTATGTCACAAGGATGATCTTGATGTCTTCTCAGGTAATACAAGATCTTGAGGATGTTCTCCATTTCTTCCTCAGTTCAAGATAATTTTGTAGCCAAACAGCAGCCAGCAGATCTGGCAGCAGATTCGGACAGTGAGGAGGTTGGGGAGGAACATGGGCCAGTCCTGGAGTCTGGGGAAGTCTCTGAGGAGGGCTCTGTGTCAGAGGCAGAGAGGGGGCCAGAGCCGTATGCCAGTTATGAGCTGCCTTCGGAGTTGGATATCAGGGAGGCAGAAGAACAGCTGGAGCCTGTTCCCTGTGTGCGCATGCGCAGACTTGCCAGATGAAGGAAACTGGTAAAGAACAGAGGTCGACTTGGGAGTAAGGCCACAGGTGGACAGTTAATGGCCCCTCCCAGAGGAAATAAAAGAGGAGCAAAAGGGGAGTGGAGTTTGCAGGGGACAATTAGTTCAATTCATTGGCTCATGACTCTCCGAGACTCCTTGCCAGGTTTTGCAGAGATCGGCCTGGCAGCTCTCCAAGCCAGCTCTCCAAGCCAGATAAGGTCTGTGACTGTAAATCCTCCCTTGAAAGACTTTGCTGGATATGAATGAGCAGAATTCACAGCAAATTTACAAAAGGATTTTTTGTAGGGACTAGGAGTTTGCTTCATGGTCTCGGGAAGCCTAAGTCAGAACCAATAGCTCTTATTTTTCCCACTGCAATTCCTCCAAGATTAGCCAAACAACCTCTTTCTAATAATGGCAGTCATTCTTCAACTGCCCTGTTTTGGGGAACAATCTCTCCATTATCTTGACTGTTGACCTACCTGGTCCATGGACAGCAGAAGAAGCTTTAAAAAAAAGTATATGAGTGCTGGCAGGTGAGGCTGATAATTCCACCCAGCCCAGATTTTCTTCAACTAGATGGCCCTCCCGATAGATGAACCTCAAAACTGTTGGAAACTCTGAAAATTGGTCTACAGCATGAGCTATGAAAGAGCTGCTCTAGTGACAGAATGACAGAATTGGAAGGGACCTTGGAGGTCTTCTAGTCCAAGCAGGAGAACCTATGCCCATTTCAGGCAAATGGCTGTCCACTCTCTTCTTGAAAGCCTCCAGTGATTGAGTGTCCTCAACCTCTAAGACCAGCAGTTCCACTGGTTAATTGTCCTCACTGTTAGGAAGTTTCTCCTCTCATCTACATTATCTTCTTCTCAGTAATGGATTCACTGCTACTACTACTTTGAGTTGAGAGTTATATACTGGGACTCCTTGGACATGTGGTCTACAAGTAGACGATTCCGCTAAAACATGCTTTTCCCTCCACTGTTTTTGTATTTTTGTATTTGTATTTATTAGTTTGTCAAACATGTACAAGATAGTAAGTATAAATATAAGCATGGACATGAACGAAAGAAATGAGTAGGACAGAGACAATAGGCACGCTGGTGCACTTATGCACGCCCTCTTTACGGACCTCTTAGGAATGGGGTGAGGTCCACGGTGGACAGTTTGGGGTTGAAGCTGTGGGGGGGTTTGAGGATGTAACAACGGACTCAGGTAGAGCATTCCAGGCATTGACCA